AAAGACCGTGGCATGGACCGTACCAAGTGGTAGCCGTTCTGCAGGATGGCTTGACTTACAGAATCAAGCATGTAGACGAGCACAGGTACCGGCAGGTGGTTCACCATGACAGGCTGAAACTCTGCCACAGTTGACATAGGCGCGGGAGCCGGGGGGCAGTGGGGGCAGCTTGCCCCCCCCCCCAACTCTGGGGCCGTGGGGGCGGTGCCCCCACAGCTTTGAGACGGAATACCACACTTTTTTTGCAAATGTTTTATTTTTTGTTGAAAAAGCCGAGGGGTGAAAAATAAGTGGCCTAAAACCGGTGAGAAAACTAGATTTGGGGGTACCCTAGGTTAATCTCTATTATGGTGTGCCCCCCCCCCCCCCAGTCGGAAAGTAGTTCCCGCGCCCCTGACAGTTGAGATGATGAAACACACGCTGACACAGGCCTCGAGTCGATGTCAACCACCAGGACAGGAGGGATAGAGATGATGAGTACCAGAGGGACAGGCAGGATCAGACTCTGAATGAAAGAGAATTTCAACAACCGGACAGTGAAGACGAGTCAGAAGCTGCTTCTGTGGAAGATTCACAGGGCAGGGCCGAAGAGGAGGTTTCACGTCGGGAAGATGGAAACAGCGGTGCCGACTTCGAATCAGGACAGGCAGCGAGCTCGGAGGTGACCCCTGGCCCGTTGGATGATCCTTCATTGTTAGATAGGGAGCCGGTGGGAAACGCAACGCGCACAGAGCAACAGTTGGGGGCTCAGGCGGCGAAGTGCAAGGACAAGGCGGGCCCCCGATAGGCTGGATTTGTGAGGGGAGGAATGTGAAGTGCTGGATCAGCGCATGTATTTGGTTTATTGGGTTTTGTGTCCTTGTCTGCTCTCGACGGCATGTTGTGCTTGTTGTGTGTTGTTGCATGTTGTGTTGTGCATGGTTGTTCCGTGGTGGCTGCCGCATGGCATGCTGTGCAATGTGCATGGAGTAATGCATGCTTGCGCGGGCTGGGAAGGGAACCTGCTTTTGTGTATAACGGCTTTTCTTGTTGTGTGCATATGTTCGCAGGCCTACTTCCTGAAGAGTCAATAAACTGAAAAGGCGTCTGCTGGTGTATTGGACCCGTCTCACTACCATAGGCAGAACCACTTACTTTTAACCTTGGTAACAATGAAAAACAAAGTTTGCCCAAAAATTTGTTGACACTTCATGCCAGTTGGGCTTTTGAACAGAAATGTTAGAACTCTCTGCCGAGCACAATAATATTGCTTTAATCATAGTAATCTGACTTCTGAAGGGTAGTGAAAGGCAACCAATAAATTGATTCCCTTTGAACAGATAATCAAAATATTGATTCCACACTCAGCTGGCTAATCATTATTTTGATTCACAGGTAATGTTACCAGATAGGCAACAACGGCTTGCAAGAATGCAGCATTTATCTTGCTATCATTCTCATTTAGTGGTATCCTCAGCACCTTAACAGATACCTATAACGCTGTTGTACTTTACCTTCACTACATTTGATAACAATTCACAATTTTAAAATGTCAAGAATACAAAAACTGAAGCAACAAAAAACATATAATAAGTATACAAGCACTAGGTACAACAATGAAAATTAGGGGTTTGAAAATTTTATTTTGCCATTTTACACAAATACTACTTGTTAAGTAGGTATGCCATTCATGATACCAAAATAACATACAGTGTGATTTTCCCAAAACAGCTTTTACGTGATGGACAGTGGCTCTGTCCTTTTCCCCTTCACAACTCACTCACCTGTTTAACTCACCTGTTTGGTTTCCCTGCCCGGTCCAATGGAATTGGAAGGGGAAGGAAACCGTGTATGATAGAGACGCGCCAACGCCCCACGCTAGATGTTTCTTAGGAGGACTCGTGGGGGTCGGAAAAGTGCGTCTGCATAGAAGCATGTATGAGTAGATGGGTCGTTTTGACAGTGAAGTGTGTGCACTGTGCAGTGTGGTTCTTCGCGGTCCAAGGGCTTGTCCTCGGGCAGGTTCTTCGTTTCTTCACGTCCTCAGGCGAGGTACTCATAGAGCCTGTCGCCAAGTATTCCTGCCAGGGATGACTTGAATTCCGCCAGAGAGTTCATCGTGACAGTCGAGTTGGGTAGTGCATTCCAGTCCTTCACGATCCTGTCCGTGAAGTACCGCTTTGTCGAGTCGAGCTGGCGCCTCTGGACCTTGATTTTGAGGGTGTTGCCACGTGTGCGACCGGCTGGAGCCATGTCCCATAGGTCCAACGGCTTGATAGGAGACAGGCCGTGGAAGATTTTCCAGGTCTTGATAAGGTCTGCACGGAGAAGTCTGCCCTTGATCGAGTATAAATCCAGTACCTTGAGACGCTCCTCATGTTTTGTGTTCTAGGCCTTTGATGTGACGTGTCCAGAGCCTCTGCACCGCTTCAAGCCGTCGGACGTCTTCAATGTAGCCTGTGTTCCAGACTGTCGAGGCATACTCAATGATGGGGCGAATATGTGTCACAAAGACGTGCGTCATGAAGTCGCGCTCCCTGCACAGTGTCGATTTCAAGAAGTTGTGAGCTATGCCTCCAGCCTTCCTAGCAGCGACTCTTGCATGCTCGTGAAACTTTAGATCGTCATCGATCGTGACACCAAGATCCAAATGGGAACGAGCCCATCGAACTACTGATCCATCGAGGTGATACTCTGGTCTCGTTAACGTGTGGAACCTACGCTGGAATCTCATGATCGCACACTTCTTTTGATTTAGGCTCAGACCCCAGGATGCTGCGGTCTCTTGAAGGAGATCTATATCTTCCTGGAACTTGGTTGCATGGGACCCTGAGTCAGAGATGCACATGTAGACTTTCAAGTCGTCTGCGAATATCTTGTAGGCGGCGTGTAGGCGGGACGCGACGTGGTTGATAAAAATCAGAAAGAGGGCTGGTCCGAGTATGGACCCCTGCGGAACGCCGCTCTTCACCTCCATTGGTGAACTCAGTGAGTGTTTCACCACGACCGGTCAGAAAGTCCTGAATCCAAGTCAGGAGCTCGCCATGAATCCCAATGCAGCGCAGTTTCTGAAGGAGTATCGAATGACACACCATGTCGAAAGCCTTAGAAAAGTCATACAGGATTAAATCAATTACATGCCCACTGTCTCTCTGCTTACAGATGAAATCGTACGTGAGAAGTTGATCCTCGGTGGAGCGTCCGGGCCTGAATCCGAATTGCGCGTCATCAAGAACAGAGTTGTCCATCAGGGCTCTGTTTCACCGGTGATAGCAGCACGCTGCTTTTACACGTGTCAAATTGGGTTTCCATGGAAACATCAACAGGCCCATTGCTCCAACACTACCACAAGTGTGACGTCAGCTCGCGCAATTTGATAGCAGCGTGGTAGCAGCGTCCCGTGAAACACCGCCCAGGTACGAGTGCAGTCTCTGAAAAAAATGAGCCGTTCAAGACATTTGGCGGGTACTGACAGGAGGCTAACGGGACGATAATTCAGTGGGTCCGAGCGACAGCCTTTCTTGAATATTGGTACCACGTGTGAGAGTTTCCACATCAGCGGCAAGGAGCCCGTTGACAATGTTCGACAGAAGATGAGGTACAGTGGGTATGATAAGGTCGAACAACACACCTTCAATAGTTGTGGATGGAAGGCGTCTGGGCCCATTGCTGAGTTGGGATCCAGATGGCGAAGAACTGCTTCAACATCAACAAGGCCAAAGTGACAATTTCTTACTTTTGAGGTACCGCTTTTTGCATACCTACCACATTTATCTACCTTTTTTAAGAAAAATCTCACCGTCATGGACCTTTTTTCAACCGTAACAATACAGTTGAAGTCAGGTGTACCCAAAATCCAAATGAATCATAAAAATTGATTCCATGCCCATATTTGGTCATGGCTCCTCCCATCGGAATCAAATTATTGATGCCTCAATATTTTGATCCCCAGATCCCAGCAGTCGGTAAAAGTATACATTAAGTCTGAGTGACTGTTAAAAGATAAAGTTTTCATATTCTTACATTATTTGACATCCTGAATCCAAAAATGATACTTATATGTCCTGGAAATAAGAGAAAAACATAATCAAACCTGACCTAACCTTACCTATTTACCTACAACCTACCAACCTACAACCTACAAACCTACAACCTAACCTAACCTACAAACCTAAAACCTACAAACCTACAACCTAACCTAACCTAAAACCTAAAATTTTTGCTGTTACATATTTGTATCAGCAGCATTTATTGCTGCTGATACTGCTTATATTGTGTTACATATTTGTATCTTTAGCAAATGCATTTTATGCATTTGCTAGGGAGAAGTTATGTTCTTTTTAACAGGGGGTGAATGTCGTATGTGTGTCTTACACTCCGTGCCTTGTGTTTCAGATGTTGCTAATAAAAGCCTAGCATCAGGCATTGTCTCTGAATCACCACACAACAGCGTCACAATTGTCCACTCGGACCTAATATATACTAATACCCAGCAGTCTACTAGTTAGCCCAACTGATGCCCTTGTACCTACGGACATTCAGTGCCAGCTGCGACAAGTGACGTAAAACAGTATGCTCATTTTTTAAGACACAATTTCCAAGTATTTACCGAGCACTATTTCAAATCAAATATTTTTACGGTAAGAAATTCTTAGCCAGACAATGAAGTTGCCAAAACTCTGGTTAGAGAGGCCGACGTAACCCAGCATTTTCATTGTAGTTAATTCAATCTGACTAGTGTCACACCATGGATGAAGTACTCCTGGATAGGACACTCCCTATTCCCCAACACTAGCGCCGGCGACCAAGCGGCCGCCCTGGTGGCGGAGCTCCGAAACATCGGCGGCGAGTGCGCAGGCGGCCGCTGCACCGGCTTGCGTGCTAAAAACGCGGTAGTGGAGGGCGAAATTAGTGAACTTTAGCTCATAAGACACAATTTCAGACACTTTAAACATAATTTTTAGTCCTTTCTTATCATTATTATGGCTCCATTTAGTCACTATCACATACGGAATCATTACCTGATGCCCATAAACTGAGCCGGTATTCTTGACTTGCCGATGCAATTTATCATCAAATATCATCGTTCCTCGGCAGTCAAACAAGTTCCTATTGATGATTTAATACAAATATCAACTTATTTTCATGTTATAGCATAAAACTTAGCTTTATTCTAACATTAGCTCTTCGGCTGTAATCACGAACCCTCACTTGTCAGCAGAATTTAAGCAACTTCTTAAATCAAAACTGGGAAAAGAATATTTCCATGACATTCCTCAATTCCTGTTCTACCAGGTTCACAAAAATTTTCATCAAAATCGGTTATAGGTTGAGGTAAGTAATAAACGACAAAAGTATACCAAAAGACACCAGTTGGGGGGCGTATTTACAAATTGCAACCGAGCTCCGCCGTAGGGTATTTTATTTCCGCCGTAGTGTATTTCACTTGGGGCATTTTCTACCATACATCTGCCTGAGCTTAGGGTAATTACAATTTGTCGGCGACGTTAAAAAATGATGCACTTTTTTTGCAGTATAGGATATCGCATGTGCATATTTCTGCCTTTTTGGGTGCGCTTTATCGGTTTTTCGTGAGTAACTCGTGTAAAAACCGTCCGATCGCGACGAAAATTTCAATGCCCCCGATTTTATCAATTTTACTCCTACCCTGAAAATTTCATGACCCTGACCTAAATGACCTTTGACCTGTGACCTATTTCTCGAGACCATGTTTGGCCCGAATCGCGATTCGGCGTATGTCGGATCGCATTAGCCGCGCGGTTGCAGTCTTCACGTGGTTTCAAGCGTTGAAACATGTGATATGATGCTGGTCCCATGCATTAGGGTGGGTGTCAAGGTCACCTGAAGGTCAGGTCAGCTCAATGACCTTTGATGACCTCGGTTCCTTTTTCGAGTTTTACATGTTTCTAGGCTAGTTTTTGGAGCTGATTTCGAATTTAGCAACTATTTTTTTTATTCAGGCCTCCCTCCAACGGGCTCTTGTGTTGTCCCAATTATAGGAGGAGGATTTGAACATTACAGGGGGTGTAACGAAATTATCCGGACACCTTTCTTCCCGCTGTAATTAAAAAGCAAAACAATCTGGTACTTTTTCTTTTAACTGAGCTTGTAGCCACCTTTCATAAAAACACAGTGGTGAACGTTCTGGAGCATTTCAGCCAATGAATTCTCCAGCACACTGGCTTTGATGCGGACCAACGCCGTCTAAACCTGTGCCTGCGGTTGAGCAGTGCTTATGGCGGGTGGCTCTTCATACACCTCCTGCTGAACAAGAGCCCACAGGTTTTCGATTGAATTGGGATCGCGACTTTTTCCAAGTCATAAGCGTTAGCCCAGAATGATTGAAGGTTCTATCGGCATCATTTCCCGTTCTTTTAGGGACTTTTAAGTAGCGCGCCGCCCCGCATGAAGACAGCGTGGCTTGAATCAGGCATCAGTGCGCGTTCAGAAATCGTGCCCTCCTATGCCGTCTGGTTGAGCGCCTCCAATCATGCTCCACCACCTTTCCTGGAAAAGATCCACCCTTGCCTATGGGGCAAAATATAAGGGACAAAAACACAAAACAAGACAGATAAAAACAAAGCAAAATTAACTCATTACCTAATGAAATTCAGGCTGGAGCAAAAACATAGGGAATAGGTATCTATGTCAAATTAGAATGAAAGATTAAAATCAACCTGACCAGGCCTTACGGTCTGACCTGGTCCTAACCACCTTACTTCGCCTAACTTAACCCAATTCAACCTAGCCTACCACAACACTGCAGAGGTACCTTCCCGGAAAAATGACGCCCAGGGAGGTGACTGTCCAACTTATTGGAATACTACCATGAATGCTTGTCAAAATGTGTGTCATCATGCTATTGTTTGACAAGTGATGTATAATAAATGTGATATTAAATAATTATCTCCTGACTGTTGACTGTTGAGTGGTCAAAATATTCAAATAATCAGGGTACAATGCTGTGCATAGTGCACACTAATCATGTTGTTTTTGTGTAGGCCCTCTGCACATTGTTGTGTGCACTGCTATGTGCACAAAAAAGTGACTGGTGCACAAAAAAATGACTGGTGGTACATGACAAAACAAAAGGTTGTGCAACTGTGAAGTTCATGCCCTTGGTCAAGCTGGTGCCAAATGCCTATAGCTATAGCAGGATCAGTGAGGGTTGTAGACATGCTAATACATTGTGCAATGTGCATTGAAGATATTGGCACAAAGTTCATCCGTAATTACTATGCTTAACACCTAATGTAGGAACTAGGAAGCGACATAAATGCCCAGATGATAAAACTCTCTGGTCAACATCACACAAATTTATTGACATACTTTGCAGGTACATATTTACATTCATGGCAAATAGGCACTTTCGATTTGATTCAGAAACTAGTTGCTAGTAAGCTTGCATTTTTGTAGGTACAACAACGACCATATATTAAATCATAAAAAACCTTCTCATGGCATTCAGCACATACCTTTTTACCGAACAAGTAGGTACCTAGCTAGGTACCATACAATGATTCTAAAAAACTTTCCGCAATCCATCTATGTCTCAACTCACAACTGACACAATGAATTTGAAATACCCTAACAAAACCTATTAACTGTACATAAGAAGAATGCAATACTACAAGAACTATGAATTTCTGAAGTTATTCTCACATGCTGGAATGTTGAAACTCTACTTTTGTCGTCCATTTCCACATTTGATTGAGCCATCATATCAAACTGTTTTCGTTCTTCAGTCACAAGCTTTCGCACAAATCTTGAATTTTTACGCATCATCTTGAACCATGCTCCAGTCTTTCCAACAAGGTAAAAGGTAACATTGAAGCAATTTTGATGTTACCTATAACAGCTTCAGATCATGATAGGCTTGAGGTTTGTTACACCATTTGCCAGACAAATCTCTACAAAATGTGTATCAATTCCCAAACTAAGTAATTGATCATATCAGTATTATGTTTATATAAAGAAACTCAAATAATCCATAAATTGTTATTGAAACACTCCCACTTCAAGAATTCACCAAGATTCTTATTGATATTCACAGCAAATATCAGTACAAATACAGAAGCAAACAAACATTGCGCCAGATTTCGTATGAAACGCGCCATCGTCCTGAAGTTTCTACCACAGACGGTAGTTCAACCGCAGCCGTAATGCGAAAACCCCTGCCCACCTTACCCCACGGCGGAGCTCGGTTGCAATTTGTAAATACGCAGTTGGGGGAGGTTTGGTCAATGGTTGTCATTTTTAGCACATGCCATTTTTGGCAACCATGTGCTAAAAATGACAACGCTATCAGCTATTTTTAGCAACGATGAAGCCGATTTCACTCCTCAGCGAGGAAATCACGATTTTGGAAATACAAGCACTGATTTTGGAAAAGAAGTGCTGCCACCTGGTGCAAGAAGAAGAAACCAGCTTTAATATGGCCGTTGTTTGTATGGTAGTCCAACGTTGAAGTATACCCTTTTTTGTGGCCCGAAGTTGGAACTTTAAATTGAAGCATCCGAAAATGATCGATATTGATCGAAATCATGATGTTGATGAAAAAAATAATATGTTAAGTTGAGAGAGGAGGCCATTTTATCCAGATGCGGTGGTTTACTTCTTGAAATTATTTTTGCTTACGACGACTGCCATGTAATGAGGGATAATTAGCAGCCGTCATTAGCAAAAATAATTTCAAGAAGTAAACTACTGCATCTGGATAAAATGGCCTCCTCTCTCAACTTAAAATATTATTTTTTTCATCAACATCATGTTTTCGATCAATATCGATCATTTTCGGATGCTTCAATTTTAAGTTCCAACTTCAGGCCACAAAACAAACTACCATACAAATAACAGGCATATTAAAGCTGGATTCTTCGTCTTGCACCAGGTGGCAGCACTTCTTTTCCAAAATCAGTGTTTATCTTTCCAAAATCTTCATTTCCTCGCTGAGGAGTGAAATCGGCCTCATCGTTGTCAAAAATAGCAGAATCGTTGTCATTTTTAGCACGTGTGACAAAAATAGCACGTGCTAAAAATGACAACGATTGACCAAACCTCCCCCGACTGACACGCTCCGCCCATAGCCCGCAATGCTAAAATGGCGCCAGCGCCCTCGCCGTCGGGAAATCCGCCGCCGCCGCCGGGTGGTCGGAAAATCGGCGGAGTGTCCCATCCAGGAATACCTAATCCATGGTCACACCATCTTATAAAACACTTACTGTTCACATTTGCATCAAGTTTCTTGCAACATCTTACCTTAAAACACTAGAAAATCGATGCAAAAACGAACCCCTCAGAGTACAACACGAACTCGCGTCATTACCACACCACGGCCTCAGCCCAAGGCTATAGAACTCCCTCAGCCTTGACCAAGGCTATATAAACCAGAGGGCTGTTCACGGACCCTGTGTGCGGTCGGACCGCACACAGCCTCCAAGCTCCGCCCACTGCGTCCCTACGTCAGCCTTGCGTCACCGCACACAGCGACTGCTGTGGCCGGTCGGAGGGGTGTTCACGGGCACCGCACACTGCTGCGTGCGCTGTGTGCGGTGCGTCCAGCAGGCGTGGGGGTAGGGGATGGGTAGGCGGTTCTGACGTCACGGCTGCGTGCGGTGGACGGTCCGCTGTGGCCAGTCCCGACCGGCCACAGCGGTCGCTGTGTGCGGTGACGCAAGGCTGACGTAGGGACGCAGTGGGCGGAGCTTGGAGGCTGTGTGCGGTCCGACCGCACACAGGGTCCGTGAACAGCCCTCGGGACTGGCCACAGCGGACCGTCCACCGCACGCAGCCGTGACGTCAGAGCCGCCTACCCATCCCCTACCCCCACGCCTGCTGGACGTACCGCACACACCGCACGCAGCAGTGTGCGGTGCCCGTGAACACCCCTCAGGTAGAACGTTCCCGACGAAAAAGTGGTGACAAGCGATAATTAGTAGCCGCGACCCTCACTTGTTCAAAACTATATCCGCAAGCAGCATTTACAGGCTAGCGGAAATCGACCAATCGGCGTTCGGCAATACTCGACGCTGATTGGCCCGATGCTCGTGACGAAATTGCGGGGGACTGTAGCTATTCCCCTATGGCGTTTAATAGGCTTACGGCTTTTGAAGGTGATTTATACCAGTTTTTGTTGGTTTTGAGGCCATTTTTGAGCTTGGATATTCTTTCTGTGACTTTTGACTGTGTAATAATGACATTTAATCATAACATTTCTATTTACTACCGGTGTCACATCGGCCAAAAAGACCGTAAGTACATGGCATAGACGGACCACTGCTGATGGGGCC